GGAGGCCATAGCTATTATATAGGTTGGAGGCCCTCGCTATTAGGTTGGAGGCCATCGCTATTGGGTTGGAGGCCATCACTATTAGGTTTGAGGCAAGCTGATCCAATGAACTTTGCACTTTGACATGGTCATGTTTTGGATGACAAACGAACTGCACTTTATTCACGAACATCTAGACCACCGTTAGTGTCAGGTCTCCCTCTGGGAAAATTCACCAAAACATGGTCCGATTCTCTGAATGGTCCAAGACACACCGAAGAAGAGAGCCCTTGCTGGTGAGGCTGGGTAAGGGCATCGCACCACATGCCTCGGCGACGGGCTGAACACCTGCTGGACGGCCAAGGGGGCAAAATCGCTTCATTCATCTTCATTCTAATGTGCATCCTGGCTGCCAGATTCCCCACCATCTCGGATCAGCATCAAGCCTGCCAAACGGCAAATCAGAATATAATGAGGAAAACAAGAATCCAAACAAAACAGAAATCTAACAAAATTCTCAATGAAGGTCAGAGTATCCGAAGTCCGAAGCAGGCAGAGCGCTATGGCAATAAGGAAAACTAAAGGGCTAATTTTCTGAGCCGAGTGTCGGAAGGCCTTTGCCGAAAGACTCCGGCAAAAAGCGCTGACTCGGCAAAAGTCGCCACACTTCCAGCTCGAAGCAACGAGATTTTCCCGTCAACCTTCCAAGTCTTTGCCTCAAGTGTTCGTCCATATCTCAGGCCCTGGCGTTGCTTTTGGCCAAGAAGCTTCCAATCTCTTTTCTCCTCTTTTCTCTCTCTTCTCAGCCGAGCCGCAGGGATGTTGAATCGGATGAGAAACTGTCACTGCCTTCAAGAAACCCAGCCACTACATGCCCAACTAACTACATGTTCTACATATTCGGTTGTGTGCGAGCATGCTTTTCAAGACCGTGCCTATGAGCTTGACCACGAGCTGTGACAGTGTTGCTGAAATCGTTTGGTCACCTCAGCGCATTTGCAACGGGATCCTATCATGGGGGTCGCTATACATGGCATAGCCGCTATGCGGTCCCTAGGTGTCAGGTCCCTCTAAGTGTCCAGACGTTTGGGGTCCCACTGGAAGGCGTCAGGAAGAGTCCTCCGGAGCTGCTGCGAGATAACGCCATCCACCAATCCAATGAGCCGGTGGAGGCTCACGGCTTCAGCACCTTCACACAACCCAGTTTTGGGTCCAAAAGGAGTTCCAGCTCGGTGTTCGAAGATGCATGTCAAGTGTGAGGAGCATGTCAATAGGAGGATACTCCGAGAGCCTTCTTCTGAGTGTGTCTGTTTCTGTTAAACTGACAAGCAATGTAGAAGTTTAGGCGCCTGCGTCTGCCAAACCCCCGCAAAAAGGCCCTTGGGCCAAAGAAGAGCAAACGCGCTTTCTTCTAGGCACCGCCACAAGCTCACGCTCATCTACAACCTCCAGCACCACAAATCTAGGAATCCAAATGTAGCTCTTTCTCCCAACAATGCTGAGGCAACGTGGGGGATGCAAATCCTTCTGGAAGCCACTGGGATGCCGGCAATGCGTTCCCTTAGCTTGAGCACCTCGTCTGCCATGGCTAAAGCTCAGGGTTCTCGGTGTTTCTCCATCACGACAAAACATCAAGACTCAAGACTAAAAGAAAAAATGAGAAGGAAAGGAAAGGAAAGGAAAAGAAAGGAAAGGAAAGGATCGAAGGAAGGACGGACGGACGGACGGACGGAAGGAAGGAAGGAAGGAAGGGGAAACGGAAACGGAAACAGAAATACATACAGTAATGATCAAGATCGTCCAAGCTTCGAGATCAGTAGGTTGATGGGATGGCACTGACACTGCAGCTTGGGCCCAGTGATGTGCAAGCAAGAGCACTACCTCGCAAAGTGTGGGGACGGTGATGATGGCGCCCATGGCTCAGCAAATGCCGGGCTTCAAGCCTTACAAGACCTTGGATTCATTCTTCGTGTCCTTTGCCCCTTACTGTGTGCTCGACCGGACGGAAGAAGCACTACAAATGGTTCAAATCTTGACTGCTAAACTTTTGAACAATGGGTTTCGGCAGATATGTCAGGCCTGCCACTGGCCCACATGGTGTTTGGGGCATGTGTTTGGGGCACGTCTCGTTCATGGGTGGAAATTTGAGTTCAGCCCCAGTTGGAAAGCTTGTCTTGTCTACGGCTGCGGGGTCAGCATAAGCAAGATTGTATCATGTGCCCTGCACCGACATAGATTGACATGCGCCACTTCTCGGTCTCAAGGTGTCAGACTGCAGAAGGGCGGCACTGCATAGGTCGAAAGATTCCAAGCCCACCAGGCTCAGCCTTTGCCATGGAATGAAGAGCCAGTCATGTCGCAGGTCAGTCAAACAGCTGTGATGTCGATGTGATGAAGCATGACAATGGAACGCTGCCCACATGCAAGTTCCTTCTTCATAGAAAAGAACAGTAAAAATAAACGTGTGAATGAGCAAATGAAGTGAGATGCACAAAAAAAGAAGTGTTGTTGATGAGAAAGTGCAGTATATTGCAGTTATGTTGGTGCAATGTACTGATACGTTGAAAATATGCACGACTACACGCATGGTTTTGAAGGCGAAAGTTATCGAAAGTTGCTTTCAGGTGAAAAGCGCTAGAATTCCACGGGACCTATTGGACGGGCCTGAACAAGAACTGACCCCAATCAAGGACCTCAGTGTCCGACCCTTCCTTCTTGGATTTCACCACTTCCTAGCAGCAAGAGCTTATCTGAAGTATGCATTTGTGCTAAAAGTTGGTGAATCTTCAATATTGAAAGGACTTTCGCAGCACTGCAGCCTATCCTGCCAGAAGCTTTGTAAAGCTGCTGCTGCACCCTTGGTGTCGATCTGTGCCTTGGGTTAGGGTGCCCAAGTCTCTGTCAAGTCTTACGTCAAGGCTGCAGAAGTACTGCCTCTGCGCCGAAGAGTTCCACCGCCGACAGGTCCAAAATACCAGCCTTCCAAAGCAAACAGGGCTCCGTTGTGCTCTTGACAGCAAGCAAACAATCTGAATGCGTCGCAAAACATGCAAAATGGGGCTTTTGTTTTCTGATGTTGCATGCAGCTGCGACCTGCACCCCATCAAGAAGTCGCGCATGGATCGATTGGAAAGGCTCCTGGTCAAGCATGGTGGCTTGGGATCTGTATGCAAAGGTGGATGTTCGAACACGAACAGCTCCCGTGTCGCGAGACATGAGTATGTCGTGGCATTGCTCTTGAAGTAGACAAGTCCCGGCAAAACAAGTTTAAAGCCCTCCAACAACCATTCTCAGCTGGAGATTTGGATGATTGATCCACGGACAAGTGTACAACTTGATTATCTTGAGTTCTAGTTTCCATGATCTGATCTGTATCGGGCCATATACAGTCTCATTGTCCTTGATTTTGTTTCCGCCAAAGCAAAGCCCCACCAGGGCTGCCTTTCAAGCGACAACACTTGCATTGTCAGAAGACTGTAGACGCACTGAAATGGCAGAACGAATCAAGGGTTGAGGGTATCGGCAAAAAGTTATATAATTATAAATTCAACTGATGAACACAAACTGAATCAATGTATTGCGAGAGAACTCTTGAAAGTTGAGAGCGCCATGATACACACCTGTGGGACAGACGAAAACAATGATACATCAATACAATAGAGAAAATTGTCAACTGGGCGCGCCATGTCGAACGCTCACCGGCAGCCCCAAATCCGCCATGTGCAAGAACACTGCTGTCTGCAGCAGTCTCTTCTATATTTTTTCTAACACGTCAATCTTGTTGCGCAGCCTTCCTCCATTCCATGTTGCAATGAAGACTTTCTGTGCCAAAATACTTTTGTGTGGAAGGGCTAAGGATTGAGACCTTATGAAAACATTTTGTTTCACACAAGCTGGACATGGAAGGTACCTAAGTTGTCACAATGGTCTGTCATGAAAGTTGCTTGGCAGTCTTAAATCTTAAGCCACCATCAAAATTGCGTAATCAAGTGCAGCGCGTTGCTTTGCAATATGTTACTGTAACTAACACCGTAAGTTTGCTGCATGAGGTTTGAACAATTCCGTGAATTCACCCCAACCTCCTCCGCACTACTTTAACTGCGGTGCTGCTGAGCGGGTTCCACCCCCAAACACATGACCTTACAGCTGGGCGGTATTCCTCCCCAGCTGTAGGTGTATGTTCTGCCCGCGAATTTGGGTGGTTCTGGGAGTGGCTCAAGTTCAGCGGGGACCCGTGTCCTTTGTCTCATCCTGAGCCAAAAAAAGGGTTCCACCAACATTCACTCCACGTTTGTTCTTACAGCTGGGCGGTCTTCCTCCCCAGCTATAGGTGTATGTTCTGCCCTTCTGCTCAGCCTCGCGTGGCATCTTCCCTTTTATCAAGAGTTTACAAGTCATCCCTCCCTGCAATTCCGCGTTGGAAGGCTCGAAAACACTTGGGGCACTTTGTCCATCTCCTCTCAAATGTGCTATCTGGAAGCTGGGGAAACATTTAACATGTGGCCCTGTCCTGCCCAAGGCCAGCCACAGACTGCTCTCCACTCACGCGGTTGCAATCTTATTTCTCCAGGACGTCTCTTGCGCACGCTGGATGACCGGACGTTCAAAATAAGATATTCAGGATCGTTCGCTTCTAACGAAGGATTCTGTAGCCGGGATTGTTTTCCTGACGACGCCCTGGACCTGCGTTCAGGCTTTGGAAACAATGGGCACACATCCTCTTGTATCCCGCTGAGTCAACTTGCAGTTCAAACACCAGTGCCCCAGACAGTTCGACGGTTCGACCTCCCCGAGCAGATACGATACGCCCACCAAAATCAATGCATACGAGTCCACAGGTCGATTAGGGCTCATTTCATTCCATCCCCAGAGACAAGTAATGCGCGCTGCCTGCGCAAAGTCAAGCGGTTGCGATTGCGCTTTCTTGAGTGGGGCCCGGCCAGGGAGAATTGATCTAATGCAACCCTTTCCGGCCGTCTCCAAGTCCTGGGTCCTGGCACACCCCCTTCTAATGCGGCGCGCTTTGTTCGCAGCAAAAAAACCTTGACAGAAGATGTATCCACTCGCCTTGAACATGGCACTCACTGCCCGGAGTGAATGCGCAATGATAGGAAATGGTTCGCTGTCAATGCGCTCGTCATCATGAAACCATACACTATGGACCTTCTTCCAAGTTTTCAAGGAGTGCCAGTTGTGAACCAACTGTGGACGGGGCGTGCATCTCATTGTCCAGCTCCCGAAACGGACGGTCTTGCGACTCAAGGCCCTTTGCCATATGGCTTGCTTTGCTCTGAGACCCACGAGTTCTCCTTGTTGACTCGAGCCCTTGGGTTGCTGATGCTCTGACGAAAGTTGCCCCCAGGAGTCGAATCATTAGCCTTCCAAATAAAGCGCCGTCTGCCTCCTCAGCCCTGAGGCTCCTGCTCTTTGAGCATGTCCACGAAGCGCTGCCCACTCCATGGTCCACTCTTCATCTGCGCGACAACATAGTCCAAGCCAGTCCTCAAGCGACATGTTGCAGCGCAGTTCAATGTTCTTCTGATACTGGGGCCCCGAACCTGCCCGGTGAAAATTGCGTGTATGAGCAGCAGGCATTTGAAGTAAGTAGTTCTTGAAAGTTGGGCATCCGTACCAGCGCTGGCGTATTGGGTCACGCTGGCTGCTCCAATCCGCAAGTCCTCACATGATCTTCAAAAAAGGTCGGCGCCGTCACGGCCTGGTGCCTCTCTGCGTCATTAAGCCGCTAATTGCATTCCTCCGGCCGGCCGGTTTAAGACCATTGCCATGGTCGTACTTTGACCTTGCCCCACTGAATGTCTTATACGGCGGACTTGCAAAGCCCGCATCGTAGTACCCGGCCTTGACCTTACCTTAGATGCCTGAATCAATCACCGTCAAGCAGGTCTGTCGACGGATTGGCCCTAAGTCAATCTCATTGCAACTCCAGCCATGTTCTCTGAGATAGTTTGATGACTCTCGACAATCTGGCCCTGAGAAGATTTACAAGAACTTCTTTCGTTCTGCGCTTGACGCCTTCGCACCCAAATTCCTTGCCTGCTCCTGCAATCCCTTCTTTGCTTTCTTCTACGTTCTTCTTGCTGGGTTTAGGAGGCTGTTCCACTTGTTCCTCCTCAGTGTCTCCACCAGTCCACGTCTTAATGACGTGTGAGTCTGACGGGGCTTCTAACCTCGTCAGCATCTGCTTCTGAGGCATCCTTACGTGAGGAGGTCGGCGATTGCTCTTCATGCATGGATGTCTCTTCCTGTCTCTTGAGTTTTAGAAGCAGTGGTGAAAGTGAAACTGATCTCCTGTCTTGGTCTCGTAGTCAGTAAGTGTTGCGGCGCTGGCCACCCCCTTTCCTTTTCCACGTCCCCTTGCTCTTCTTTGTGGTGAGCCACGTGACTGCGGTGCTCCTCGTGGTGACACTGATGTTCACCATGTCCTGATCCCAGGCACCTGGCGCACTGCTGCGCTGTTGTGGAGTCTTGCGCGATGATAGAGACAGTTGTCTGGGGCGCAATCTCCTGTCTGCACTTGTACCTCGTCCACGAAGTCGAGCACTTGATATAGCAATGCCCAAATCTCGCGCGTGTGGTTGTTAAATGATGGAACGATACTGTTGCAATGGTCCAAGGTCTATGATGTCCAACATGATCACGCAGTTGGACCAAAGATCAAAACATTGTCTCCACACTGTGATGTCCGTGGGTCCGAAAATCTCCCACCGCGCGGGCGCTCCGCTCCTAGGCTCTTGGCCGGGACGAGCCCACTCAAACTGACACGCTCCATGGCGCCCTCCAAACGGTTGGAACAGCCCGAAGTTAGCATTTGGAGCCTGCCCGGATTCTACCAATGCCTTCAGTCCGGACAACTGTTCAACCGTCGGCTCCAAGTTCGGAGGTGGTCTTTCGACACGACCAAAAAACTGCCCCGTATCTAGCAAACAGTCTGATTTGTTCTGACTGTGATGAGACCTACACTTGCGATAACTTGATCTTCCTAACTGCTGCCCCGGCTCCTGGGACTCCTCTTGTTGTCCCGCGCGAGGTGAGGGTTGCTTCCAGTCCAAGTTTGAGCGTCGCCAGCCTTGCGGCCTTGCGAGATAAAGTCCCATTGCACCCTCCCCCAAAGTTGGAGAACGTGTGACCTGTGCTGTGGTGTCCGTAGCAGGTGTCACCAGGATCTTCATGGCATTGATGGCGTCCTTGACATCACTGGCCTTGAGTGTGCCAATGATGTTAAGCTTCAATCCACCGTGTATGCCTAGCGAGGCTTATAACGCTCCCTGAATCTGTTTGGTCTCCTGGTATGCCAACGAAGGTTGCTGCGTCACCAATCGTCTTTAGGGCTGATGGTCTTCCCAGACCTCAGTACCACCACTTCAAGCGCAGGGTAGACCTGTCGGAACTCCTGGGTCTTTCCTTGCCGCTGTATTGCCCAAACTAAAGTGAGGAGCACACCTACCGTCAACACCAGTAGGTCGACCAGGCCCCCCTCCTCGATCAGCCAATCGGACACGGGCCCCCAACATTCAAATTCAATGGGAACCCGTGTCCTTTCGTCTCATCTTGAGCACCATCATTCACTCCACATTTGTTCCTACAAACAGTTTCACTGTTTTCCAAAAAAGGGCTTGTCTGATTGCATCATGAATGGAGATTCCACGTGCTCCAACTCAAAAGCAAGGACGTTGCTTTCCAACAAGTATTCATCCTTTTTGACCTAGCTAGCATCCCTGCCCTCACAAATGGGCAAGGTCGACAGTCTGCCTGCTAGCCACGAAAGCTATTGTGCCATCGTGCTGCACAACCCAGGTTGAGCTTGGCTTTTCCACTTCACCACGATATCATATATTGCAATATTCTATTGGCCTGAGAATGAGAATGGAACCTGGGTGAACCTAGATCTGAAAGATCTGGCTGTGCAAACAAAACTGGATCTGGAAAATGGCCTAGACCTAGACCGGGAACGGTCTCTTGAAATGAGAAGGAGGTTGTATGCAAAACAAACTCTCACAAGTGTCAAAGTGCTCTTTTCAGCCCTCTCTCATTCCAAGGACACACATACACCAACATGCAAGCTTTTCATGTCGTGTTCCAGAGAAAATGGTTGCACCTGGTTTGAGCTCTCTGAAGAAGTGAACAGCAAAGTATAAAAGTATGCATCAAACCAGGCCCCAAAGTTGCGGGGTGCCAGGGCGAGCCGAATCAGTGAGTATGTTCTCAAAGTGACTCGGGCTCATGAAAACCTCAGATTACTTTGTGTTCCCCTCTGAAGTCGCAATGCATCAAATGTCCAGCTGTCATGTGCCGGTGGCCCGAGATCTGGATCCTTCAAACAGGGATTGTTTGCCAGCCTCAGGTCCACTGTGCCTAGAAATTTCGACTGTGAATTCCACACTGCCAACCAAGAGCCTTGATTCCACATTGTGAATTATGGCTACAGGTCCCTCCTCGCTATGCTGGTGCTGGTGTGCAAGGCCGATGTGGGATTTCTCCCACATGCTCAGCACCTTGTAAATCGAGGAGCCCCGCAGCCTCATGCAATGGCACTTCTGAACGACATCAGGAAGAGTGCCAATAAGGCCCTGTGGCTTCTTCACACAGCAGTGGTCGCCGCTTTCTAGGGTGAAACAAGTTGTAGCTCAGAAGCTCACAGGCAGCTACTTGGAGTTTCAGTTCAATGTCAAGGCCACCAAACTCTGCGTCACAGTGTCGCGAATCCCAAACTTGTTTGTATTGATATATTTGACACAGAAGCAATTGCCTTCAGTAGACTCCATATTCAACTTAGAAGCAAAACTCCATGGACTTGGAAAATTCAAAAATGGGCTGGCACACTCTGCGGACATCCCTCTATCTGGCCTGCTGCATGGACAACTCTGATATGCAAGGACTGAAAGTATAACGAAATGGCCAGCTAAAAGGACCCGACCTATCCCGCACTTGCTTGCCTCTCTTTGTGAGAAAGCATCCTGGGGCTTTGCACCCTCTTCAAAACTCACAAAATTAGTTTGGCTGTAGGTCTCTCGATACTTTGGTTGTTTGAAGCTACCCTTGTGATCTGAAGCAATGCGCAAAGAGCGCAACAGTCGGACCCACATCAACTGGTTCGAGTCTGCTCACTGAATCCCAGCCACGATGCGTCCATACCCTCAGACACAGGTACTTCAGGTGTCCAATCCGAATTCTTCATGGACTTGCGTACTTGTAAACCATGAAATGATTGAAATTTGAAAGGCCTTGTCAGGTCTTGTCTTGCAAATCAGTTAAAGGCAAGCTGCTGCACCGCTGCAGTCTATTTTGATGTTGGTGAAGAATCCGTAGAGCTTGAGTCCTATTATCGTGTGGGCAGCGGTGCAAGGTCTTTCTCCCACACCATAGCTCTACTTGTGAAATCGACCCGGTTCACAAGGAAATCTCCCGCCAACCCGACAGAAGTCATGTCGTGTCACAAACACTAGCTATGTAGCAACCATATAAGTCTTATTATTGCCCGGCGAATCCAAAAAGAGATTTTCCCTGAGATGAAAAAAGTTTGAAAAAAGAACGTATAGGGGGCTCTTTATATAAGAGCATTTAAGAGGCCGGGCCGGACCTTATGTTTCTTCCTCTTTTTGCAGAACTTAGCAATTGAGCCTCCATGAGTCTTCTGTCCAATCGGCTCCTGTCGGTTCCTTCGAGAACTTGTAAGACATCTCGAGCAGCACCATGTCCATGGCGACTACACGCCAGGCGGACGAGCACAGATGGCTCCTCAGCTGCAGTGCGGTAGCAGTATGCCCGGCAAATACTATCCGAGAAGCAGCTGCCAAAAATGCGGTGTTTTGGACGGGGTGTGGATGACAAAAGCCTCTCCACCAATCTTCCATTCCAAATGGTTTTGAAATACTTTTGACTTGTTATTGATTGAGAAATTGACATGAATAGTCTCGGATCGTAAACCGTGCCACATGATTCATCGAGACTTCGAGATTGAGAGTTATCATGCGCCAAAGCTCTTTTAAGATGGCACGTGCTAACGCAACTCGGCACGGATGTCTGGCTGTGCTCATTGCGCAACTCACGACTGCCGCCCCATACACGTCGGAGCCTTGGCAAAACGTGGCAAGGAAGAGCTTTACTGTAACATGTCGCACAACAATGCCTCTTCCTTCCCTTCCTTCCTCCTTGCCACAAATCCCTCCTGCATTTGGATCAAGCTGCTCAAAGCCGGAAGATGCTCCTCCAATATCAGGCAGCAAGGCTATGCAAAGCTATGCAAGGCTATGCAAACTGCAGGTTTTGCTTCACTTGAGAGCAATAGCAACCCAAACTGCATTGCACAGTGAGGCGAAGCTTGGTTCTGGATGGGGCTTGGTCAACTTTGTCAACATGAATTCGTCACAGTTTGAAACAATGCAAGGCATACCATAAAAGCTGCTGCTGATGATCTTTATTCGTCGATGGGAAAGCAGTATGTTTGGATCAGCAACAAATACTCGTGTTTTCTGCAAAATGTATGGAGAAACGAGCTGCCAACAGTATGGAAGAGGGGAACACTCTCTGGTGGAAGCCCTCAAATGACATCCACGGTGACGCAAACGTGTTTGTCTCTCGCAGGTTTTTTGCTTGTGAGTGAGGCCAAAAGCGAGTTTGCTACAATTTCTCTCTCTATTTCCTCAGGACCTGATGGTTGCCTTCTTTGACGCCATCAGCAGACCACAGCTGCACATACCCTGGAACGTCACTGTAGAATCGACCACAAATACACAAAAGGAGCAAATACTGTAGCTTTGACCACATTTCTGAGGTTTAGAGCCAAGGCGGCTGACGGGGTTCTCACCCACACTATGAACAGAAAAGGCCATGACAAGGAGAAATGCCCACATCTGAACTCGCCTCACCCCTTGTCTCCTCCAGGACTCCGCACAATTCTTCTTGTACTGAGTCTGAACTGTGCTGAAGGACATGTTGCATCACCTTGTGTGAAGCACTTAGCCTACATCTTCACTCACAGACCGGTTGGATATACTTAGCATCTTGTGCGAAGTGTTGCCGCATTGTACAGCTGGGAACAGTCCACATGGTCGACGTGCTCAACTCCATAAATGAAGATCCATCTATATACAACAAAAAGAGATGTCGAAACAGTCATTCTGCACTGCACACTCTCATTGCAGCAAGGCACATAATTTCCATAGGCATGGCAAGAAATCAGCTGCGCATCTCTGATCAAAGCCTGCCTTGGAGCTTCAACAGTGTCAAAAGCTGCAACACTGTTGGCACCTTTGTCAGGTTTGATTTATATGCTGTTCGGACAATTTGTCTAGCCGGGATTTCCGAAAATGTGCCGCACTGTCCCAAAGTCACTGTGCTTTGCGTTCACTGTGGACAGCCAAGGTACAAAACATGTGTTGTCTGTTCTGCTGGACATCTCTCAATCAGGCGCTGCACAATCCTGCAAGCATACCTTGAAGGCATAGATGAAAGGGCAAAAAGCACAACACCCTCCCCGCTATGCTCCAAACTCGCTGATTCCATATTAACATCAGTTTGCTTGACAACTCGGAGTGCTTCCAAGAATCTTGTGCCTGGCTGCTTGCGACACTAGCTGCTGACGCACCAGAACGTCCACAATGAACTGCACATTGCTGTGATGCATTACCTGGTCCAATCAAGTGTTTAGAACAGCCCACGTTCCAGCTAAAACATTCCATGCAAGTAATCGTTGTCGACAGCAACCAAGGCTGACAAGTAGCCAGAATGCATTTCTGCAAAACATGATTGGCATGTGGGCAGCACGCGGCATCCCAAACCTCAGGCGCTCTCTACAGCCCGCATGCTTCTGGTGCTTTGGCAGCGGAGACTTGTTCGACGCAGTGATGCTAGACCGAGTGATGCGGATGAGGATAAAATGAACCTTCTGGTCAATTAAAGAACAGAGCGGGGGATGGAGTGGTGTACTGCAAGACAACACATTCACATCCATGGGTGCTTGCACCATACCAGCTGAAGGGAAATGGTGATTGCTCGGGTATCCACAGCGGTCCAGAGCAGTCCGGTCGGTCAATCAGTACACTGTACGCCAGAGTGGAATCGCTTAAAACGTCTTAAAACATCAAAAGCAGGAGCTGTTGCAGGCGTTGATACTTTTGCGCAGTAGTCTGCAGCGAATGCCATGTTTTTGCATGGGGCTTTAGTTTCATTTTGTATGGCTGACAGGTTGTGCTGTTAGTCATGCAAGTGACCTGTATGGGGCGTTCTGGCTGGGCTGAGCGGCCAAAGAAGCAGCTGATCCGACTGTCTTGGCATTTCAATGGCTTGTGAGGTGCTTGAAGTTAGGGGATATCTCCCACAAATAATTGCTGTGACATTGAGAATTGTTTATCGAGCAAATAGGAATCCTAAAGGCACAACGTCAAGAATAGCTTTCTTCACTTGGTCCAATTGGTGCACTGCTATCTGTTTGCTGGTGGCTGGTACAAGTATGGCGTGTCGGCCCATATTTTCACAGCTGCTTGCGAATGCATTTTGGACAGAGCTGCAACCCAATTTGATGTTTCGTGCGCTGGTGCGCTGGAATGGTACTACCACTTATATGCTAGTGTGCTTTTGCTCTTAGGTTCTTCTGATGTCTCTTATAGAGGTTGTGTGCTGACGTGTTTGCAAATGCAAAAGAAAATCGGGACTGCAGTAGCAAAAATTGAGCGTGGTACCAGAATGGCAGAGCAGTTCATGCAATCAGTTCATGCAATCAATCTGGCACCGCAAGAAATTAAATGTACTCATCCAGGTCATAGTTTTAAAGAGTGTCTTCACTTGTGCGTATTCCAGTTGTAGGCTGCATCGTTCATTGGGCGAGATGTTGGCATGCAATGTCCAGAATGGTCATATCAGATGTTGACTCAGGATACTCATGCAAGAAACTTTCTACACACAGCCAAGAAGCATGATCATGAAGTTCTGCAACTATTCTCAAGCGATTCTCTTCATCTGCCATCTCAATTGCAAGTTGAACCTCTCGACAGCCTGCAGCATCCTGGGAATACTCCCAAACTCGGCCAAAGACAGAGATGCCGACGGGTGTATAGTCACCTCTTCGAGGCTTTGGTTCTGCTTTGGCCTTCACAGACGAAGCACTTTCGTGGAAGACTTTCGCGCTCACCTCTTTGGGACGCAAGTGGTCTGGCAAAAAGCTGGACCATGGAGCTGCACCCCCCTGCTCTAAGCGGCCGAGCAGCACTTTCACTGGGAAGGTCTGACGTGCATGCATTCTGCCAGGTTAGGAGATGGCCTGAATAGGAAATAGCTGCCGTTGCGTGAATCAACAGATATGCCACCTTTTTCTTGCTATTTGGTTCAACTATATACAAGCGTGTTGCACGCATTGAAACTGTCTGCTTGAAGGCATTTGCATGATCATGCATGACTTGTTAGCAAACGATCTCCGAAGCAACTGTTTTTTTCAGCTTGGAGCAGCAGGAAAAGGATCTCTCCTGCCAATGGCCTCGGTGGCACCAAAGCCAATTAAACAGTGGCGATGACAAATAAAGGAGAACATTCAACTTGTAAAAAGCACAATGAACACATTTATAGAATGATGACACTCATATTGCGGCATCATATCATTGGCACACTTTGTTTCTCTTCACACTTTGCGTTTTGGTGCTTTTGGTGCTTTGGTTCCAGCCACCTTGAAGAGCCTTCCCAGAGATGCACTGAAGGAACCACCTGGGGCCTCGGACATCCGGTGCGCGCGCTGTCATGGCCGTTGGCACGCTAATATATATATATATATGTATACATATATATATATATTTATGCATTACATTGCCCAGCCCACCTCTTGACCCTTTCCGAGCTTTTAGCCGGGGTCAAGTGCCTGCTGATGAAAAGGCAAAAGACCCAGTGCCCTCTCCCGATCAAGACCTCCTTGCCCCCACCTCCACGCGTCCCAGCTCGGCAGCAAACCTCTGGCTTGCTGCGCGAACTCTTTGGGAAACCGCTGGCGGTTAGACGAGGGCAGTGTATTCTTGGAGGGCTTGATCCAGGTAGATGCGGGCTGTAGAAACATGTTTCCAGCGGCCTTTAGCCAAAAGCTGGTCAAATTTCATGCCTTGGGCGCTCCTCCCCTCTTAAACTGTACGGGAGGTAGTTGAAACTTTCAAGGCCAAGGTGGACCACCACCTCTTTCCACAGCGACCTGAAAGCTGCGGGGGGGAAGTCAACTAACTTCTCATCAGGCCTGCGTCTATGACACAGGGCTCTGAGGCATCCAATCCCACTTTTCTCACTGATGAGCGGTTCGTTGCGCTGCTTTGGTGTCACGCAGAAAAAGTATGGCCGACTTGCCCTTCCTGTTTTTGCAAAAGGACGTCTCACCGATGGAGCTGAAACATCTCTCCTGTCGGAAGTACGCGACAAAAGGCCACCATCGATAGTTGAGCTGGCCGAGGCCATTGCCATTTCCACAGGATTCCAGCCAAAACCAACTCCAGGCTTAGTGGGGTAGCCCGTATTGGTTGCTCCAGCTTGTTCCAAAGAGAAACAAGCTGCCATGCCCCTTGCAAAGCCCCTTTCAGTACGGGTTTTCTACAGCGGCCAGCACGTAGTTTGCCATACTTTTGGGATCTCCTTCCTCCCAGAGGAATGCAATGTACTGGCAGAGCGCTGATCTAAGTCCTTTCGACATAGTACATCTGCCACATTGCTTCCAAGTGAAACACGTTGTTCTGACAACTTCTCAACTTTCTTTCTCTCAGCCTTGCGGTCTTCCTTCGCCTCTTTTCTCTTAATCTCCCTTCTTCACATCCTTCCCAAAACCTCTGCTTGACCATCCGCCGGGTTCAAGCGGGACGCAATCCAAGCCCATAAGGGAAACAGGTTGAGGGCGACGCACAAGGCTGAAATTTTTCGCAAAATGCGATTGATCTTCTTCGAGCTACTTTGACCTTTTGTCAAAACAGCCAAGCAGATCTGCGAATCTGACAAGTGGAGGAACCTGCACGAATGAAAAGAAGCTGAACGGGCACGCCACTCAAGGGTCCTCAGAATCAGAATCGCCCTCAGCTTTAGCAGGTTGATATGTTCTTCTCTGCGCCATTTGTAGGCTTGCGCTGTCTTGCACGCCCACCTGCCTGGGTCCACTGTTGCGCGGATCACCGCGTCCGGACGATAGACCACCTGCAGATCCAGACGTACGTCACCTCCGCAATTTCATCCGCCGCAGGTACTGGTGTATCAGCCTCACGTTCAGCAACCTGGCTCCTCCATCTTCTCCAAAGCTGTGCGCAGCCAACCTCAGCCATTCCTCTGCTTCGGATTTTCACCAACTGCAACAAAGCTTCCTCCTCTTTGTCCCTCTCACTCATACTGACATGGGCGGTAGCATCATCCTTCTCCCCTATTTCTTCAAAACTTCGTCGGCTCATCTCCTCACGCCATTTCTCCTCGATCGCCTTTGCCCCTTTTGGGTCAGTCCGTGCTTGCTTCTTCCAAAGCCACAGGTCTAGCAAGCAAGCCACCACCACTGTGTGAAAGCTGTGACCTCTCCAGACCTGCCGGTTCTCGGCAGATTCTTTCTGGGGATTGCCCTTGCGAAGGTAGACAACCGGATATCTATTCACCTCAGTGGCTGGCCATATCCATCCTCCATTACACACCGAGTTGAGCGGCTCCAACTCCTCATTGAACTCCGGCGCATCATAAAGCTCATGGCGCTCCCACTTTTGCCGTCGTCAGACCCCGGCTCTATGGACCGTCTTAGATATTCGCCCAGGCTTTGCGCCACTTCGCACGCACACCAGCGCCAGGCCCAGATTCGGATACGCTCAACGCTCCACATTCCTCTTCCTTCGCCCACCACTGCATCATCTCCAAGCTCTCCTCAATTCCAGCCTCTAACTCCACGCTCATCAAGCTGGCCCTGGTTGGGCTTCGGTGAAAAGGCCCTGACTCTTCTTCACTGGATTCGCTTTTCGCTTTCGCTTCCCCCCAGTTTAGGACCACTCTCCTTTGTCCACCTCCGCTTCTCTCTGGCGCCCTAACTCTTTTGGGCACTCGTCGAACTGAACCTGACGCATCCTCTCCGGACTTTTGGACTGCTCCTTTACTACTCGGGGCTCCGCTGCCTTCCGTTCAAAAAGAGCCGCCACGGATCCCTTTGGTCCACGCCCTGCTTCAGCTTTGGCTTCTCCTTTCTTTTCCTCTGCCAGCACCTTCCGTGACTGCTTTCTTCGCTTTCTCCAGGGCCCTGTCCAGACCAGTCAAATCACGCAAAGCCTCAGGCTTATCCTTCGTGGGCGGTGCTCTTGCTGGTTCCGGCACACGGGGCGTCCATCCGTCAACGAAACTAACGATGCCTTCCATGGCTTTCTTCTTTGAGTACTCCATATCATGCATCGTCCATCACCACGAGGGAGTTTCTCCTTACACTTCGTCGGGTCTCCACGACAGAAATGATAGAGACCTCTTCCATCTTTCAAGTGCTTCTGTCCATACCATTCACAATAACCATCACCAGAAATCCTCGACCAGCGTCACTCCAATCCTCAATTCGCAAACAAGCTTTGCCCTGGGCTCGCCCATTCCAATCATAACATTCATACTCCATCACACAACCTTTGCCCAGAACCGATTCGGCATAGGCCAACACATCATCATGATCATTTCCATCAACCCAAGTCATCCACTCTGCGACAAATCATTCCAATCTTCCAACGTACCTCCTTTGGTGAAAAAAAACTCAGCTTCTGGTTTTCCATCCTCTCACTCCCACGAGGGAGCTTAGGGCGTCCAGAGGCCAAGCTTGGCCACCAATCACCCCCTCACTCCACGGGGAGCGCTGGGGGCGAATGATGGTCCCAAACGCTTTCACACAAGTCTGTCTTCTTTGAGTACTCCATATCTGACATCATCAACATGCTCACCAACCTCCAACGACTGATATGCACTAGTTCTCGACCATCTGCACCGGGAAGTTTCTCCTTGCATTTCTTCCGGTTTCCGCGGCACAAGTGGTAGATCTCTTTTTCCACCGTTCAAGTAACTCTGGCCATACCACTCATAGTAACCATCACTTGCCACCAACTGATCTCCAACAAGAAATCCACGACCAACGTCACTCCAATCTTCAACTCTATACATGCTTTTCCTTGGGCCCGTCCATTCCAATCATAACATTCATACTCCCTCACGCAGTCTTTGCCCAAAACTGATTCGGCATAGGCCGCACACATCTTCATGATCTTTCCCGTCAACTCACGTCATATGGTGGGGCAGAACGCCACGCTGCAACAAATCATTCCAGTCTTCGAGAGTACCACCTTTCTTGAAGAACCTCAACTTCTGATTCTCCATCCCCTCGCTCCCGAGACCTCCAGGCTCCTGCCTAGGAGGGATAGGTCCTCAGGGCCCCCTCTCAAGAGGAAGATTTCCAACCTCAAAAAGTGGTCTTCTCACGCCCCGACAGAGACCCCTGACTCCCCTCACTCCCACGAGGGAGCCAAGGGCAGCCAGAGGTCAACCTTGGCCACCACTTACCCCCTCACTCCACGAGGAGTGCTGGAGGCAAGTGATGGTCCAAAAGAGTCTCACCCAACAATGAAACCACCTGACCTCTCCCCACCTTCCCCAGAACGAGGTCTGGTGGGAGAGATCAGGCAGCTCTGACTTTGAAAAGCTCCGGTGGGACCAGCAATTCATGCATGCCATCCCCTTGGGAGAACACATATAATACATATATATATATATAACTACCACTTGTGCCTTGCCAATGTGGTTCTTTGCATTTGCAGGAATTTGCAGGATGAATACTGCACGACACCCAGAGAAATGTACCATGAAACGATAGGCGTAGACCTTTTGGCATGAGCTCCCTGGCACGCACATATCAAGAAATGTACCTACTTGAAGCCGTTTGTACCAGCACGAAAGAGAGCTCTGTTCCACAAAAAGGTTATGAACCAAAAGTTCTAATTAGCCTTTGGTTGAGGAGGTCGACCTTGTAACTGTCCACGACCACTACATCCTGGCAAAAATGAACATGATGAAGGCGAAGAAAATGTGTGGCTTTGGAAGATGAAGTGAGGGATGAAGCCAAAAGGTTCTGTGAGACCAAGCGCGGTACCTTTGGGGACAACCCAGGATGGGCATTTCAGGATCACCTGTGCTTCGTCAAGTGGCAAGAATGAAAGGCGGTTTGTGGCACCTTGAGGCCTTGCCAACCGCATCAAGCTGGTTCGATGCGGGAATTTGCAAAGCAGCTCACCATCG